GAAGGGCTGCGATTTGCTCTTTTCCCCACAGAACAGAAAGAAGTTTGCTGACTTTAAAAAACAAACAGAAAAAACCCAAAGAAATGTTTCTGGTAGCCGTGGATAAGGCAGATGAGAACGGGGGGACCCAAGACGCCTGGACCCGCTTACGGGCTGGCCGAGCGGGACAAGCTGTTCTTCAAGCGGGGGCTAACACCGATGAAGGGGTTCAGACATAATGGCATTGCAGAACTCCGAGGGGGAGAGAAAAACTGGCAAAGATGGGGGACTTGTACATGAGCAGGGTAGTGACACTGTTACCTCTAAGCCATAAGGGAGTAAAAGATGAGGAGGTCAGCAGCATCACCTGTCCATGCAGTAAAGGCCATTAAATAATCCACTGGAAAGCTCATTCACCTGTATCAAATAAAATGGGAACTCTTCTCTCCATCCCATACACTTTTTACTGTGGAAAACACTGAGCAGCTGTATGCCTGGGTCACTGCTAGTTACCAGTACCTATCTTGGGATAAGAAGCCAACGGGGTTAAGGTGGGAGCAGAGTTTTCCACGCAGAAAGTAAGCCACCAAGCAAAACTGCATGTAAGAAGAGCAAGACCAACCCGCGCAGGCTGATCCCGCAGCTCCTGCCAACGTGGCACACAGGGAAGGACGTCGGGGGGGCGGAGGGGCTCTCGGCCAACGCTCGTGTGCCGAGTCCCGCTTCCCAATCTGGGCTTTTTCTCCTTCAGTAAGCTCAGCCACTCTTGACTAGAAATGAGGCTTCCTGCCTCTATTTTGTTGTTTTGTGAGTTGGAACAGTAAAGACAGACAGAAAGATGCTTCCTCCCCCTCCTAACACAGCTACAGAAGGCAAAGCCACACGGTTCCTCCTAAGAAGGGAGGACCCTGTTGCAAATACTCAGTTTTCAGGAGTTTCTGATGAGGAGCAACTGTCCTGATATCTAATGCTGATCTCCAAAACACTGGCACACAAAACACCACATTCTTGGGAAAGCACCCGCACGTACAAGGAGACGATAAAGCCCTGGCGATTCTGCTAACCCCACAGCGTTAATTGTGCACTAGCAGTGAGAAAAACAATCTGTTTAAATGTGGTTTAAGGAGAAGGAATCCTTAAAGATTTCTCCATTCTGCCGTAGAAACTGTGCTACCAACACAGGCAAGAGCTTCCTGGACTCAAGGATGCAAGGAAGGGGGGGGGAAGTGTTAACTACGGAGCGACCCAGGGCTTTATAAACAGATTTAATGCAATTCTCAGCCATGTCTGCTCAGAAGGCACAATCACGCTTGATCTCTGTTTGCAGTAATTACTCCTGCCTCCAGCACAGTTCCAACCATAGCATGGACGGTACGGAACTGGCAAGTTTTCATAATTAAACCTCTGCCACTGTTCACAGCAGTCCACAATCAGGCAAAAGTCCTGCTGGAGTCAACAGGCATTTTGGACAGACTATGGATCATGTTTTCCTGTGGAAGATCTCGACCCAAAACTAGACGTAGCCAGCCAGCACAGTGAAGGCGTGACCGCTCAGCCCCACCTTACCTCCTCCTCTGAATGGGTGTCACTTCCAAAGCGTACCCGGTCAGACACTAGCAGGGACCATCCTCCCATCCTGCCCCACGG